CTCCACGGCCATGGTTCCTTATCAAGGAGGTACGAACCAGGAGAATAACAGTCAAAGCTCCGGTAACTATGGTTATGGCCGGGGTAATTCCTATTCGCAGGGTTACCAGCGGTACTCGAAACCGTGGCATTGGCAATATCCGCGTGGCCAAGTTAGGGGACAAGCCAGGGGAAGGACGGTAGGACTGTCAGCCTGGGCTCCGCCTGGCCTTGGGTAAGCTAGGGGAAGGAGAGATAGGGCTGGCCAGTTGTGGGTATAGACTACTAGTTAGCTGTCCCCGAAAAAATAACCCTGGGGTCTGTTACAGGGGAGCCTTATTGTACATGGGTGTTGCATGGTGGGAGGCAGTAGCCCTATTGGGAGTAGGGCAGTTTGGGGATTGTCTGAGTCTGGGGCCGGGGTTGGAGAGTTGGTTGCCTTTATCCCCAGCGGGGGCAGACAGGGACAAGGGGTGGACAAAGGCAGCCTCTAGGAGGGGATTGGTTGCCTTCGCGGATGTGGTGGAGGGAGGGGAGGGGATCTGTTTTATGTTGGGGCCGAGGGATTTTCCTCGGTGGAGGCAGCATGAGACAGGGTACAGTGGGTATGGATTAGTTTGAGCTGTGACCAATGGAAGCGTATCCTTTTGACGATCTAATAAACTCGACGCGTCAAAGAAAGATCTGATAATTTCAATATAGTTCAATACTTCAAAACCAGCCACCTGCTGCTCTACAATCTTGGCAGCACCTGGTCTTCTTCTTTATTTGGGATATAGGAATTCAGGGATCGTCGAACCTAGACTGATAACTGCTGAAGTTGCTTTGTTTTGTGCTCCTGGATTGCCGATGCCAGAACAACGCTGGYYGGAGCTGGGGCATAGCCCTGTAACCTGTAATTGGCAGGGGCGGGAAGCCTTGTAGAGAGAGCTGGGGTTTGCTGAGGGAGGAAAGCAAGCCAATGGTGAACCCAGGAGGGGCTACCTTGACAACCTATGGGGTGGGGTTAGTCTGGGTAGTGAGGAGAGATCAGCTATGGCAGTGGGGGGATAGGTTTGTCTTGTTCTAGAGTTGCAATATCCTGGTAAGGGAGGGCTTGGAGTTGTTCAGGATCAGGAGTCCAGTACGGCTGACTCAGCATGTGTAGGTACATTTTTTTTCATCACTGGCATCATTAGTATCATCAGCATTAGAATTTTCTATTCTCAGGTTTTTCTCAGCCGAAGCCGGATAATGGCTCCGGTGTTACAAACTGATGTATGTTCATATGGGACGCTGGGCCCGGTTCCCAGCACGTGCTGCTCCCCACGAATAGACTGAAGCTTCTTTCTGTCAAAAAAAAAAAAAAAAAAAAAAAAACTTCAACAAGTTGTATGAGCTATTGGCTGACCAGGTAGAGGAACGAGATGCAAAGAAAAAGGAGGCGTTGCTGGCCCAAAAGGTCGAGGAAGATAAAGCCAGATTGGTCGCAGAGCAGAGGGAGAAAGAGAAGCACGAGATGGTCATGGGCCGTCTCGTGAGGGAAAATATGAAGATTGTATGTGAGAAAGCGTTAGGGAAGAAGGTTGATTGGCCAGAGGAGGGTGATTCTGAGGTTTCACGATTGAGAAGGGAGCTGGAAGAACTCAAATCCCTCCACTCTGATTGTGACAACAGTAGCGAGTTAGAGAGATTGAAGAAGGAGCGAGATGATCTGTTACGAAAGCAAGAAGAGGAAAGGCTGAGGAAACAAGTGGAGGGGCTACGGAAAGGGAAGATCCAAACGAGCTCCAGCGAGGCGCCAAGTACGACAGAGCGACAGGAGATTGCATCACTCAAGCACCAGATCGAAGATCTGAAGGCGATCCATTATGTGCTCGAGGAGAAGAACAACGAGGTAGCTACACTGCGGGCTGAGAATTCGCATCTGCGTTCAGAATCCAGAAACCTTAAAGATGAGGTGTGTGTCCTAAATAAGCGATCAGCTGAAGCAGTGACAGAGAAGAGGCCCCCAGAAGAATTGGCGAAAGGCAAGACGAAGGTAGCTGATAATTTTACCACCATGTACACCCCGAAGGATATGGAGACACTTCGCAAGGCTTATAAAGATGCACTCGTCAGCAAGCAGTGGGCACAGGAGGAGGTTTGTATGCTCAAGGAAAGATATGGTAGGAAGATGGCTGGAGCCTGGAAGACTGAAGCGTGTGTCCTCAACAAGGAAGACGACACCACGTAACTTGAAGGCAAGCCTGAAAAAGGTAGCTATGGAGGAAGTCGATACAGACAGAGAAGAATCGGAGCCGGAAGAAGAGGTGATGCCGCTTACTAGGAAACCGACCTCTACCTTTCCTGCGAAGAAAGGAGATCGGTATAAGAAGGTGTTGGCTGCCAAAAATGAGGAGCTCAAACCTCTGAAGAAGGTAGGCATTACGACGATGTGCGAAGATGCAGGAATAACTTCCCTTTCGCTGCAACAAGCCAAGACGGATCTGGCCGAAATCCACACGCACATCGAGCTGGGTATAATGGAAAAACCCAACCTCGGTGTTCAACCGGGTAACCAGCCGCAGGAAGTGAGCGATGACGAAGAAGAGGTCCAATATGCAACCTCCACCGAAGATGCCGAGAAGTAGGGAGGCGCCCCGAGCACAGTTGATCTCTGGGAAGAAGAGGTCCAATATGCAACCTCCACCGAAGATGCCGAGAAGTAGGGAGGCGCCCCGAGCACAGTTGATCTCTGGGAATCCGCTCTTCGAAGCCAGGACCATCGCTCGATTTTCTCTGGAGGTTTGCGAACTTTGGATTATGTCTTTCGCTTGATTGTAATTCTTTTAATTATTAAAGGTCAGATTAGATGTCTTGAAGTTCTCTGTAATTTGATACTGTCCGGCTACGACTTCAGGCGTTGTCCTGGTCCCGTTGTTTATGTAATCGTCTCGCCTTGGTTTAAGCATGTGTATATAGGATGTACTGGTAGATCTCTACTGGTCCGATGGTATGAGCATATTGGTTGTACGCATGGTCGGGTTGGTCGTCGGAATCGTCGCTTGTATAGATGGTTGGCAACTTGGCACGTTGTGGGCTTAGTAGTTAGATTGTCATTCCTATCTACTCTCCTCCTGTTAGCGATCTGCTGTCTTGCGAGCAATTCTTTATTCGTTTTTTCTCCCCAGCGCTCAATTCTGTTTCGGGATGCAATAAAAAGCATAGAAACCGACCAGGTTGTAAAGAGCGTAGGAGATCCAAGGTTATTAGCGCTTTGTCTCCTCCTAATGCCCCTCTTCCAACTCCTTCCTTCACTTTCGACCCCCTTATCCTTTCTACACCTGTCGTCCATTCTTCACTTAGCCTGTTGACTATCCTCCGTTCCATCTCCTCTTCTAAAAAAACTCTCACCATCGTCTGTCGATCCGGTTCATTCTTGGTACATAAAAGGAAAACCATTCGTCGGGAATTCGGACCTTCTCTGATCTCCGCCCCAGGTCTCCCTTCCTCCCTTCTCAAACACTGCCGTTCTTGGTTCAATGAGGGTTCGCAGGTTACCTTTCTTTCCGTAAAAAGATTTTCCTCTCGCTCTTCCTGAGTGTACTTGTGATTCTAAAGACCCGTCCTACCAAGAAACGACGGGCATGTGTCCTTTCGAGCTAGTGAAGTGAGTTTCCTACCCCCCTCGATTGTGAACTCCAAGAACATTATCGCTTCAATCCTCGCTCACTCTCTAGTCAGATCTACGGATCTATTTTTCCACTCTAAAATTCGTAATTACCCCAATCTCGATATCCAATCTTGTCTTTCTACTTGTTCTAAGTCCGTTTCTCCAGCTACCATTTCTATTAATGACATTAATGAATGGAAAGCTAAGTTACACGGGTTTAAAACATGTACGATTGATCATAACGCCGGTGATACCTTCTTCTGCTGTCCATTGATCTATGCTGAGGGCATGCAGAAATTGTTTACGGACAATCCTGGGTTAGTCCAAATTCAAGAAAGTGAGCGCCTTGTGCTGGAGAACACCAGGAAGCAGTATGCTGTTGAGAAATTGAATCTGATCTCCCCCTGGTCGGGTAAGGGTTTGCTTGGCGGGGTGTATGTCCTACCCAAGCACAAGGATGTTAACAGATGGCGACCCATTTGCCCTGCTACGAAGGAACCTACTCGAAAGGCTTCGCAACTTGCGTCTGCCTGTATTAATGAGATGTTGAGGCGACGACCGCAGTCCTTGCACTTTAATCTTAGAAGCACGAATTGTTTGAAGTCCTTTTCACAATCGATTAATGAAGGCATTAGGGAAGATGAAGACTTGATATGCGGAAGTTATGATGTCAAGGAAATGTTCTGTCAGTTACCTCATTCTGCCATCTTAGCCGCCGTTGAATGGATTGTAAGTATCTATGAATTGAAGGGTTTTGTTAAGTGTCTAGTGAGAAATAAAGGGAAGATGGTACGTTTGTCTAGTGTTTCTTCTGGTGCTGTCGGATGGAAATCAGTGAGTTTTTCAAAATTAGTTGCCTTTATCGCCTTTGATTTGGGACACACGTGACACGTACACCATGGCTATGGGTACGGTCATGAAACAGAAATTGGGAATCCCAATGGGAAGCCGTCCAGTCCAGCTTTAGCCTGTCTCATGTGCGCACACAATGAGAACACGTTTTTAAGTAGCCTGGGCTGAGATGCAAGGCTAATCAAGGGATGTAGGCTCATTGATGACGTATCCATTTTCATAAAGTGTAGAACTAGTAACGCCCGGGAACGTCAAAAGGCTATGGACCTTCTGGGAAAGTTTGAGTCACAATGCTATAATCAGCACTTGACCTTGGAGAAGACTAGTGCAGGAGATGCATGGCCGTATCTGGGCTGTCGGTTGGTTGTGGGAGGAGAGCCTACGAAGGTGTTTTGCCAGGCTCTGCACAAGAATCAGGATCATCTGCTGAATAACGGCCAGATTGTATTCCAGAATCTGCAGGATTTCGAATCATACAGCAGTCGGAGACAAAAGATTGCTGTGATTACAGCCTTTCTACACAGAGCTTATGGGATGGGCACCTTGCCAGTTGGGGAAGCCCCCTTTCTACTGTCTCTGAAGATTGAACTCCGTCGGCGGGGTTTTCCGGACTGTTTTTTCGATAAAGCCTTGTTCAATTTTAACATTAGGATTGCTCGAGTATGGGACCCCTGGGTTCAGTGCTTTACCGGGTGGGTCTGGTAGTACGATAGGCTTTTTTTCTCTTTGGACCTAGTTATTCCTTTCTTCATAGATGTGCATGCTATATAGAGACGTAATTTCTTTTTCTTCTTACCGTGCGCTCTGTACCCCTGAGGATGACCGACACTGGCGAGTCGGTCGAAACACGTGTCGGGAGTCATCGCCAGCGAGCTCATCCATTATGACGCTTCTGCATCTACTTTCTGTACTCTTTTACACTCTTATCTTTCGTGCATAATTGCGCTCGGGGGAATTTTCCATTCGTCTGTCTCTTGTCTTCTTCGTCTTGTCATGGTGCTGTCCGCAGACTTGTCTGTTTGCATTTCGTTGCTTGATGAATTCTATCACTGCGGGGGCAACATGCATCCCCTCTGATGGCTGGAAGGAGACAACAAAGCTATGTTCGCAGGGGTCCCCTGTCTGTATGAGCCTTAGGAGTAGTGGTAGGTAGGTGGTGAAGGTGAGTTCAAAGAATTTGAAAGATGATGAAAGATTTGAGAGAACAATAGTGTGTAATTAACATTAAAAAAAAGGGGAGGAAAAAAAATAATAAAAAAAATTCAGGCACGTGTCAAATCTGGGCAGGATGGCCTTTCTGGCCGTTTCTATTTATCCTTGTAGTATTACGGGGAACCCCGTAAGGTCATGATCGCTGTTCCAAAAAGAAGAAAAACAAGAAAACGCACCCATACTCAGTGCCTAGTCACTGGGGCACTATCCTGCGCGTCTCTGACCCCTTTTTTATTTTTATTTTTTTTTATTTACAAGATCAGCCAAGCGGAAGCTAGGGGTGCTGGTAAGAGCAGACGCCACTTTGTCTAGCACCGGGGGAGAATTGCAGCCAACACGTGATGTCAGATATTTACTCATAAAAGACAATCAGTTGCAAAGGTCCTATATAATGAACCCGACCTCATACCTGTGCGTTCCTTGACATGTGTCTGACTCTAATGAACGCCAAATTTGGTCGAGACATGTGTCAGTATCCTGTTACAAGAACTTTTTTTTTTTCTTTTTTTTTTCCGTTACAAGAACTTTGACTACGCGGGAGTCACAAAAATGAGTTATAATTGCACTATGGGTCAAAATACAGTTTTCAAATTGCAGTTCGGGCAATGTATACAATCCAGCTTTCTGGCCAGGTAGGGTGCCCGAGTTCAATTGCAAACTGTACAGTAACTTCCCCCATAGTGCAATTATAACTCTTTTTTGTGACTCTACTGAACTTACCCCTTTTTTATTTCGTAAGAATGGACGACAAGTGGGTAGTGGGTTGTTCTCTGCTGATTTTCATCTATCTAGTACTCACCTATCTCATCATCTCACTAGTCTATGTATAGTACGGGGGAACACCAACCAACCGGGATCTCTCCCCAGCCCACGGGGTAGGTTGGCACCACAGGAGTGGTGCGAGGGCAAGGCTGTACCAGTCCCTCATCACGGTGACGTGGGGTTTGCAGGCATTACCGATGGGGGAAATCGGCGGTGCTAGTGCCGAGCAATGGCCAGTCACTGCCTCACCCCCTACCCCCCCGAAACCCCACATGGCGGTGCCCAATGGCCAATATTGTCGCTGCATAGCAACCAACAACATCAACCAAGGTCCTGCCAATGCTGGCTTGGGGGGCCAATGGGTTATCTCTAGCTGGTAGAACACCAAGCTTGCCCAGGCACGTCGTGAGGCCAGTGGGGATTGAACCCACGACCTCCTGAATGCAACTTCTGTGCCTTCCCAACTGAGCTAGGCCCGCAGGCCTTCTCTGCCGATTTTCAAATGCATCAGCCCACAGTTACGTGCGTGGCACTGTGTGCTCATAGACTAGTATGTTACGGCAGTCTTCACCCTAATACAACGCACCATCCTTTTAGCTGTATTTGGGGCAACTTTGGGCCTAGATACAGGTATAATGACCAGGATTTGTATTCGGGTGAAGGCGGTAATACATGAAGAGGGACTCGAATACACTTCGGGGAGGAACCAAGAGGGCCAAATTGCATGAGGCAGCTGCAAAAGAAAGGAGAGAGCCGCAAGAAAAAAGGAGGGGTCACTATAGCGAAGTCCCCAAAACAGTTTGAAAATGCACTTTCCTTCGGGACATCCGTTAAAACTTAAACAATCCGGAGAAGATTAGCATGCCCCCGATGCCACACACGAATAGAGAACCGGTCCAAAGTAAAGAAAAACAACAAACATAACCCCTTGTGACCCTACGGGACACCACTGGCAGACTTTTTTTTTTTTTTTTTTTAAACAACACCCCCTACAGTGCTAGCGGTGCTGGTAAAAGCAGACAAGCTTGCATACATTCCACCTTTTTTTTTTTTTTTTTTCTT